CATCTTAAAGGATGCTGGCTGGGGGATTCTGGGAGTGGAAGTCCAGACGTCTTAAAGAGGCCAAGACTGAGAATCACTGACCCAGAATATTCTACTGGATGTATGCTCTGCAGTTCCCTTCCCACATTATACAACAGCCTTGTGAGGTACGTCTCTACCTTCATCCTTTCCTGCTTCCTTTAAGGTTGATCACAATATTCTCTTCTTGGCAAGCTGGCATCCACCAAAGACGGAGCCTGCTTTTCTCGCCCCCTTGTCCCTTGGATACCTTTTATTATTTCCAATTTTGCCATGCCCTGTGAGTGCCAAAATTTAGGAAAAGCCCTTCAGATGCATTTTTGACGTTTTCCATCTTTGGACACCAGCAAATTTTAAAATAATTTGGACCCACGGATTCCCTTCTTAATAGCACCGGTGGCCTTGTATAATTTGCTTTTGGGTGGCACTGGCCTTCCGCAGTCATAGTCTTTCGCAGGGGGGGGGGGGGGGGGGAAAAGCCGGGCCAGGATTTTTTTATAGCCGGCGGAAAAAACCCCCCCCCGGCCCCGGGCTCCCTTGCCCCTCGGGTTTTTTTCGGCGCCCCCCCCCCCCCCCCCGGAGACTCCCAACTGCAAAAGGCTAACAAAATAAGAATTTATGGTTGAATTTATTATCTCTCCCGGCTTTTGTGTGGCTCCTCCTGGTCCTGCCACGGCCCAACCCACCTGCTTGTTGGCGTCCATCTTGCTTTCCTGCCCTCCGCAAAATGGCGGGTGTGTTACTCCTGAATGCCGGAGACCACAAGAGGGCAGGGGCTATTGTCGAAGAGGTGCGTATACATGTATGTGTGTGTGTGTCTGAAATTAGCAATGCTGTTGTTGTTCTCTCACACCCACTTCTCCCTGCGATGTACCCGAGACCCCAAGACGATGCACCTTGAGCTGAACGGCGGTGCTGCCAGTGGCAAAAATCCAGAAATCAGTGCCGTAATCCTTTCCTTCCCCACATCCTTCGGCTAGGAGGAAAAAAAACACTGGAATTTGCTGTAAATTTCTCCCTCCCGAGGGATTTCTGTGCACCACACTCTGCTCGTTTTGTGTTGGGCTGTGTGTGTGTGTGTTTTACTAGTTGCTACAGAATCCACGTCCCATTTTGCTTCCTTAGCAAACAGGTGTTTTTCCCTGCTGCAAACCGGCGGCTCCGTACCGATTTTTTTCGGCTGCCAATTTTTTTTTTTTCTGTCTTGAGACTCTGGATGCAAAGACTAACCTACTCTGGGAGGGGGGGGGGCTTTAAGAAGAGCCACCACCACCCCCAATTATCCCCAGGGTGGCCTCTTCCTCGTGACCCACCCCAACCCACCCCTCGCAGGGCTGGCGCGAAGGGGCGAAGCGTGGTGTCCGATGAATGGATCATTCAGGGAGCTGTCAGCCGAGCCAGCGAGCAGATGGCAGGGGGAATGAATGAGGTTGTTGTGTGGTTGGGGCAGCCCCGGCCAAGGAGCGCGGGGGTCGGATGAGGGATAGGGGGGGCGTGGGGATGGAGGGGGGGGGCTGCGGGAAGGAGGGGGGCGCAGAGGGTCTTTTGTTTTAGGGTTCATGGGGCAGACAACGGACATATTCAGCGATCTCTGGAGCCGGTGTGCAAGGCCGAGTGGGTGGGAGTGTCTCCTTGGGTTTTGGGGAGGGGGCTTGAGGAGTTGGGAGAAGGACAGAGGGGGTGAGAGATGGGGTTGGTGGTCCCAGGGAGGGTGGGAAGGCCTGATGGGCTAAGGTGCCCTTGTTTAACTAAAGGTGGAACCTGCAGAATAGGGGGAAAACAAGGGCGTCAGCCTGGCAGCCATAATGTAACAGAGAACAGATAGAATTGGAAGGGATCTTGTAGGTCATCTAGTCCAACCCCATGCCCAAGCAGGAGATCCTATATCATTTCTGACAGATGGCAGTCCAGTCTCTTCTTGAAGGTTATGATGGCGCTCCCACAACTTCCAAGGGCAACTTCTGTTCCATGGGTTGACTGTTCTCACTGTCAGAAAGTTTCTCCATATTTCTAGATTGAATCTCTCTCCTTGATCAGTTTCCATCCATTAATCCTTGTCTGGCCTTTGGGTGCTTTAGGAAACAGCTTGACTCCTTCCTCTCTGTGGCAGCCCCTCAAATATAGGAGCACTGCTATCCTGTCTCCCCTGGTCCTTCTCTTCCCAGACTAGCAAGCCCAGTTCCTGCAATCATTCATCGTGTGTTTTAGTCTCAAGTCCCCTCATCATCCTGGTTGCTCTTCTCTGTACTTTTTCCAGAGTCTCAATATCTTTTTTTATAGTGTGGTGACCAAAACTGGATGCAGTACTCTGTGGTCTTACTAAGGCTTTATAGAGTGGTGTTAGTTCCTCCCTTGATCTCGATTGTATCCCTCTGTTAATGCAACTTAGGATTGCATTGGCTTTTTTGGCTGCTGCTGCACACTGCTGGCTCATATTTAGCTGGTTGTCCACTAAGACTCCAAGAATCCTCTCCCAGTTCCTGCTATTGAGCCTGGTTTCGCCTAGTCTATATGTGTGGTTTGTGTTTTTCTTGCCTAAGTGTAGGACTTTCCTTTTCTCTACGTTGAATTTCATTTTGTTGGATATGGCCCAGGGTTCAAGTCTGCCAAGATCCATCTGGATTTTGAGCCTATCTTCTTGGGTGTTAGCTATTCTTGTTATGTAGGTTACTACGCTCTGCAAGAAGTCCTCAACTTACAACAGCTCACTTAGTGGCCGTTCGAAGTGAACGACGGCACTGAAAAAAAGTGACTTGGGGACCGTTTCTCACACCTACGGCGGTTGCAGGCTGCATAATCAAAATTTGGAGGCTTGGCAACTGGCATGTACTTATGACGGTTGCAGTGTTTCCCGGGGGGGGGGAGGAATCACACAATCCGCTTTTGTGACCTTCCAACAAGCAAAGTCAAGGCGGAAGGCGGATTCAACTCCACAACCGTGCGACTCACTTAACCCCCTGAAGGGACTCACTTAGCAACGGTGGCGAGAAAAAGGCGTTCGTTGGGGGGCAAAAGTCAACTGAACGAAACGTTTTCCCTGAGCCACAAAAATGTTGTGGCTCGATTGTGGTCGAAAGTCAAGGACTGCCTGGAACGAGGCTGTTGCTGAGGGCTTCCCAGGTTGTGAAACCTGGGCCTTAAGGCAGGTCGATGGACCCAGCATCCTGTCGGAAGCCCGTAAACCACAAATGTCTGCTAGTTTGGCCCTTCCCCACTTCCCTTCTTCCCCGTACCTCTCCGGCCACGAAAAACAGCAGTGGGGTCTCTTCGTCTTTGGCTTTGTATTGGGCTATGATCTTCTCGGCAATCGGCTGGATCAGCTGCTTGGCCGCTTCCGATTCTCCGTCGTCGTCGGAATCTGAAACATGTGGGGGGGTGAGAACGACATAGGAGGAGGAATGACAATCACGTTCCCAAAGGGGATTAGAGGAGGAAGGGAGAGAAGGGGGGGAGGGAGAAAGGAGAGAAGAGACAGAAAGACAAGAGACAGAAGAGAGAGAGAGAGAAAGGAGAGGAGAGAAAGAAGAGACACAAAGAGAGAGAGAAAAGAGAGAAAGAGACACAGAGAAAGAGACAGAGAGAGGAGGAGACAGAGAGAAAAGAGAGAAGGGAGAAAGACAGAGAGAGAGAAAGAGAGAGACAGAAAGGGAGAAGAGAGAGACAGAAAAGAAAGACAGAGAGAGAGAAAGGAGAGAGAAACAAAGAGAGAGAGAAAAGAGAGAAAGAGACACAGAGAGAGAAAGAGACAGAGAGAAAAGAGAGGAGAGGAGACAGAGACAGAGAGAGAAAAAAGAGAAAGACAGAGAGAGAGAGAAGAGAGAGAGAGAAAAGAGAGAAGAGACAGAGAGAGAGAGAAAAGAGAGAGACAGAAAGAGAGAAGAGACAGAGAGAGAGAAAAAAGAGAGACAGAGAGAGAAAAGAGAGAGAGAAAGAGAGAGAGAGAAAAGAGAAAGAGACAGAGAGAGAGAAAGAGACAGAGAGAAAAGAGAAAGAGAGAGACAGAGAGGAGAGACAGAAAAAGAAGAGACACACAAAGAGAAAAAGAGAGACAGAGAGAAACAGAGACAAAGGAGAGGAGGCAGAGAATGAAGAGACAAACAAAGAGAGAAAGAGACAGAGAGAGAAGAGAGACAGAGAGAAGAGAGACAGAGAGAGAGAAGAGAGAGCAGAGCGCAGGGGATTGCTGTAAACACCTTACAAACAGTCCTCAAGTTATGACCACCATGGAGAGCATGGCAATTATGGTCACAAAGGGAGTCAGCACGAACGATGATCCATTTTTATGACTTTGTGGTTTTTTTTGCATTCAATCTTAAAGCGAATGCTGCACGCGTTATCCATTGTTTGTTACGAGTCAGTTTTGACAGGGAACTGGAAGCAAACGCAGGTTTCTGCGGGCTGATTACAGAACACCCAAAACGTGGTCATTGTGACCACGGGGGGGGGGGGGGGGGGACATCCAAACTTCAAATCTGGGGTGGGGTGGGGTAATCCATCGGAACTTTGAACTGTTGCCAAAGCAACTGGTTATAAGCCGAGGACTACATGTGGAAAAAAATTTCCTCTCCATTTTCGGGGGACTGCTGAAAGTTGGCAGAACACACGTTTCAAGTTTCTAGTCCTCACTCTTTAATTAATTTTTATTTTATTTTTAATCTCATAATTCCATCTTCAACTGAACATCCTTTTAAGAGCTGCCTTTTTTCTGCTTCTGCTTGGATTCCTAGATTTGGGGTGGGGTGTGTGTGAGGCCTTTGTTCTCTTTATTTTAAGCGTTTCTCTCCGTATCTCCATATTTTTCTCCTCCTCTCCACAAACTCCTCTCCCTTTTAGCACTGATGACGTTGCCTAGTGGGTCATGAAACGTCTGCAAGAAAATAACCAGGTTCAGAGAGCACCAAGGACCTCACAGTCCTCCTCCTCCTCTTCCTCCTAAACCCCACTCCCTTCCAGCACTGATAATGTTCCCTATTTGGGTCATGAAACGTCTCCAAGAAAACCACCAAGCTCAGAGAAAACCAATCCTCCCCCTCTCCACTCTGCAAACCCAACTCTCTTCTAGCACTGATGATGTTGGCTAGTTGGGTAATAAAACATCTGCCAAAAAAAAAAAAACACCTCCCAAACAACTAATAGAGCATCAAGGACCCCACAATCATCCTCCCCTTCCTCTTCCTTCTTCCTTCCTGCAAACCCTTCTAGCATGGATGACGTTACCTAGTTGGGTCATGAAACGTCTGCAAGAAAACCACAACGTTCAGAAAGCACCAAGGACCCCATAGTCCTTCCTTCCTTCCTTCCTTCCTTCCTTCCTTCCTTCCTTCCTTCCTTCCTTCCTTCCTTCCTTCCTTCCTTCCT